AGAGATGCGGAGTAGCATGAGGAGGTGTGGAGAGGTGGGGAGGAATGGAGAGGTGGAGAGGCACAGAGTGGCAGAAACATGGCTGGGCAGTCACACTTCCCTGTGTGGTGACAAAAACCAGGAGGGACAACTTGGGAGTGAGAGAGCCCAGCCCCTCTCCCCAACTTGGGAGAGAAATAGCCCAGGGTTCTAGTGCCAGGAGAATAAGTCCCCATAACTTCTGGCTATAAAAACCAGAGGTGGGTGGAGTGGCAGAAGAAGCTGTGGGATTCTCAAGAGATTCTTCTTAAAGGGCTCTCAATGGACTTAAAACACACAGACCCACCCCCTCTGGGATTCAGCACCAGGGCAACAGCTGGAAGGGCACCAGTGACATGGGAGAAAGTGAAGTGACTGGCAATAAGGTGAGTGCCAGGAGACAGCTTCCTCCCAGGCAAAATCCCAGAGGCCAGTGGCCTTGTCCCCTCTCTGAGCCCCACCCCACCTGAGAGCAACAGAATGGTGATTACCTGAGGCTTCGCCCAATACAACTTACAGGGGTACTTTTCTGAAATAGACCATGTACTAAAACAGGGAGTCAAAGCAGGTCAAATCAGTTGGGCTTTTACCTAACATTGCATATAAAATGTAGTAAAGATGTAAATGTACGTCAGACCATAACATTCCTAAAGAAAACTTAGGCAGTAAAATCTCTGTCATTTCTCTAAACAGTATTTTTTTATGTATATTTCTTTGGGCAAGGGAAATAAAGGAAAAAAAATAAACAAATGGGACTACATCAAACTAAAACTTTTTTTGCATAGCAAAGGAAACCATCAACAAAACAGACAATGCACTAAATGGGAAAATTCACCAATGTATGGACATTCACGAATGTATCAGTCATGAATGTATCATTCACCAATGATACATTTGATAAAGGGTTAATACCCAAAATTTATAAAGAACTCATACAGCCCAGCACCAGAAGAAACCTAAACAATCCAATTAAAAAATGGTGGAGAGCCCAAATAGACACTTGTCCAAAGAGAATATATGGATGACCAATAGACATATAAAAAGATGCTCATCTTCACCAATCATCAGAGAAATGCAAATTAAAACCCCAATGAGCTATCACCTCACACCTGTTAGAATGGCTATTACCAACAAATCAACAAACAAGTGTAAGCAAGGATGTGGAGAAAAGGTAACCCTCATGCACTGTTTGTGGGAATGTAGATTGGTACAGCTGCTATGGAAAACAGTATTGAGGGTACTCAAAAAATTAAAAATGGATCTGCCTTATGACCCAGTGCTTCCACCTCTGGGCATATATCTAGAGAAACCCAGAACATTAATTTGAAAAGATGTACACCCATATGTTCATTGCAGCATTATTTGCAATAGCCAAGCTATGGAAGCAACCCAAGTGCCTGTCAACAGGCAAGTCAGTAAAAAAGTGGCAGTATGTATATATAATGGAATATTACTGGGCCCTAAAATGATTGAGACTTTATTTTTTGTGATAGTATGGATAGACCTAGTGTGTATTATGCTATGTGAAATAGGCCAAAGAAAGACAAATAGCATATGATTTCTCATATGTATAGAATCTAAAGAACAAAATAAATAAAATAGATAACAGACTCATTAGTAAAAAAACAGACTGATGGTTGCAAGAGGCAAGGAGGTTCTGGAAGACTGAGGGAAAAAGGTGAGCGGGTTGAGCAGTACAGCTTGATAGTTTCAAAATAGTCATGGAATGTAAAGTACATCATAGGGAATTTAGTCAATAATATTGTAACTATGGTGCTGATTCAGTACTGGAAATATCTGGGGAACACTTTGTAAAGTATATGATTGTCTAATGAGTATGCTGTACATCTGAAACTAACACAAAATAATGTTAATTGTACTGTTATTGAAAATAAAACTTTTAAAAAAAGTTTTGCCCTGGCTGGTCTGGCCCAGTGGACTGAGTGCCAGCTTGCTGACCACAGGGTCACCAGTTCGATTTCCAGTCAGGACACATGCCTGGGTTGTGGGTCAGGTCCCCAGTAGGGGGCACACAAGATGCAACCACACATTGATATTTCTCTCCCTCTCTTTCCCTTCCCCTCCCTCTAAAAAAAAGTAAATGAAATTTTTTTTAGAAAGTAAGAGTTTTGTTCTTTACATAGTAAAGTTACATTAGAGAGTTTTAAACATAAATTTTTATGTTTTATGGAGAGGGGAGAGAATTGTTTGTTGTGTGAAGAGTAGATTGGGGTAAGAATAAAATGAAGGCAGGGTGAGCTATGGCAATAGGTCAGGTGAGTGAGAATGGAGGCTTGAATGAACGAGTGATGGGATTGTAAAAGAGACAGTAGATAATGAGCATAACTTGAGTAAAAACCATAGAATTTGGTGCTTGCATACAGGGGTTCAGGGTAAGCAGACCTACAGATAGTAATATTGTTAAATTTTCAGTCTGTGGCTCCATCAGCTAAGATAGGGAAGACCGGAAAAAGAGCAGGTTTTGGAGGGCTGAGAGAAAAAAGAAGGGGCAAGAGGTAGAAAGAACCAAGATCAGTTTTAGATTTAATTTGCAGCCCCTTTACTAATCCTTTTAGGTAACCTAGGAGGTCAGTTATAACATTGTCTTTCAAGATCTTATTTGGTGCCAGTATCAGAGACAGAATAATGAGCTATATGTTTTAGGTATATTTGGAATACTTAAGATGAATTCAACAGAAAGCCAAAAAAATCTGTAAGTTAAGGTCTTTGTACAACCTGAAGTATTCTTCATAAACTAGAAGGAAAACCTGGAAATAAATTTAATTGTTGTTTTCTGCTAATGTATATGTATTTTCCAAATTCTTTAAATTTTTATTTGTATTTCCTTTTGATATATATATATATATATATATATATATATATATTTATTTATTTATATTTAGGGCTTTAAATTCTTTAGTTTTTATATATAAATTGTTGATGGCACCTGCATAAAAGTTTCAGTAGTTTTCCAAAACCATAAATACATGGTACAGTTTATAGTTTGTTTTTATTCAGTGGATGTTAGCGATTGATTTTCTTTTTAACGGAAGGAGTACCAATAGATAGACCTAAAAATTGTAACAAAATAAATTCAGATTGGAGGTTAGTAAGATCTTAAGTCTAAGATTCTGAAATACTGAAATATATTACTAGAAGTTAGTTACAAATTTTTTTGTAAGAAACATCTTTATTTTTTTCTGAGATGTTTAAATATAATGATGCTGAGAGGCGCTTGTTGCATCTTAAATCTTTCATGTGGTGTTTGCAAGTTTCTTTATGGTCAAAGTAGACGGGTCACAAAAACTCCTAACCTGGTTTAGCTGGAATGTGTAAAGTGGAAGTACTCCTGAGTCGTGGTTTGCTGCCTTTTCAAGAATGGTTTTCAAATCTTTGTGTACTTCTACATGAGTAGTTTTACTTTTAATAAATACCTGCTTGAGAAAATATGCAAAAACCAAAAACTGTTTTGAATTTAGCAACTGTGTTGAGTGAACTATTTGTTTTAAATGTATTTACCACTACAGTACTTATCTGCGTTAACTTTGGAAAATAGTCCAAATAATAGATTTTCAAATTACTTGCAAAAATTAGTCCACCAGAGGCCAGAATCATGGGTTAGGAACAACTAGAGAAAGACTTAGAGCTACTTACTTGGTGTTAAAATTTGAGTATGGAATAAAGACAGTAAGTACCCTTTTAATACCCTTCTCCATCTGCATCTGGTAGTGTAATGAGACTTCTTTTCGGTATGGACTGTGTGTGTGTGTAATCTTCATGGGCAGGACAGGCATTTTTTTCCTCTTTAAAAAGTTGTTACATTTGAAAAAAGAAATTAAGCAATTGGGTCTTTGTCTGCCTCTCATCTCCTCAGAAATATGCTTGTTATTGCCCTGGCTGATGTGGCTCAGTGGATTGAGTGCTGGCCTGTGAACCAAAGGGTCACCAGTTTGATTCCTAGTCAGGACACATACCTGGGTTGCGGGCCAGGTCCCTGGTGTGGGGTGCAGGAGAGACAACTACACATTGATGTTTCTTTCCCTCTCTTTCTCCCTTCCCTTTCCTCCTCTATAAAAATAAAATCTTAAAAAAAAGAAAAAAGACATGTGCCTGCTACAGAAGGTGAGCCATACCTACTGGATTCTTCTGATACAGTTTTGGAATTTTTGATGTATGAAGTTATGCCAGTTTGTGTTTCATTTTTATCTTTTAAAGTGGTACTTAATTTTTTTCTCTTCTTGAGTATACAGAAAAGTATATACTCACCAGCTACAGATAACCAATGTTAACAAGTTGATATATTTCTCCCCTTAAAGCTAATTGAGGTAACAGTTTTTGGTATTCTTTCTTCTTTTTAAAATCACTCAACTAATTTTAGTGTAATTTTTATGTCCTTAAAATTTTTGTAAAATTTTTAAATGGAAAAAAGTTTATATAGTTGTATTATAAATCAGCATTTTCCTAATATTGGCTTACTATCATGCCTTATAAATTAAGAGTAATGAAGAATCAAACTACTTCTGATATACTATTGGTTCAAGATATGTCTGATATAATATCCATGGGTAGGCAAAAGTAGGTTTACAGTTATAATGTAAATAATACAAAAATAAATAATAATACAGTTTCACATATAACTGTAAACCTACTTTTATTCACCCTTGTGTTGATCCAGGATTCATCATTTATTTTTGGAGTTAATCACTAATCAAGTGAATTTGTAGGTATTTTATTGGCTCCATTCTGTGTTTTCTTCCATTATTTTGGTTCTTGAATTATTATTGTTTCAGGTTTTATTTTTTTTCTAAAATACTCACTAATTCAGATTTTAATGCTGATGTTTAGGACAAAGATGGCGATAGAGCTGTTCACCATGCAGCTTTTGGAGATGAAGGTGCTGTTATAGAAGTACTACATCGAGGCAGTGCTGATTTGAATGCTCGCAACAAACGCAGACAGACACCACTCCATATTGCTGTCAATAAAGGTCATCTTCAGGTTGTGAAGACTTTATTGGATTTTGGCTGTCATCCCAGTCTTCAGGTAACACCTTTAAAGAAATATATCTGTAGTTATTACTAGGATCTAATTAGAGGGAAGTACTAGCTTCAGTGGTAAGCATTCCTTTGTTAACAGTGCTTTTTTATATGATCAGTCATAGTGATACCAAAGATGTAGAATGTAATAAAATTGGCAGTTGTTCGTTCTTAGAAAAACACCTTTTTAAGAAAGTGTCAAGTAGAGTGGTTTTATATTAAGGGGTGAGAATAGGGATTTCCTTGTAAAAATAATAGTTTTTGAATTGAGTTGATTGGATTTAACTTTTTGATTATGACATGGACTTCAGCAGCTGAAAGAAGTGCAATAGGCTGCATTTCTTGATAGTCACTATATAGCTATCTAAATTATTTTAATTATAGCCTTATTTAAGTATTTTGGTCATTAGTAGTCATTAGTCTAGTTTTAGATGATTTTCTGTTTTGGAAAATCTGTAGCATTTTAGGGTTTGTTTATTATATTAGGACCTAATTGTTGAAGCAAGGGTCACCTAAGAAATGATTATTCCCATCCGCAATTTTAGCAACCAGATGAATTAAAATTCTAAGACCAAATTGGATTGGTCTTACAGAAGCATTGAAGAACAGGAGTAATGGAGCCATGTGTTTGAAAAGAACTGAAAGAATCAGAGGTTGTGTTTAGCTAGATGGTTTTTATAGACTAATATTTCCAAGATACAGCCATTTTAGAACTGACAGTTTCTGAGTGGATGGCAGGATTAGAAGACAGGGGAGGCCTTGGGAGGTAATAATCTGTTGAAGGAATGCAGATTTACACCTGTTGACTTTTTTTGTCTGAAATGGAAGGCAAAATTATTTGTTGAGAGTGAGTGGGTAGTGGTCAGTATAGAAAGAGTAGTTGAGAAGATTTTGGATGAAGGTTTGGGATAGCTACTGCAGGGACCAAGAGGCCTAACAGATGAGAGCCTGCAGAAGTTTATTCCAACCAGGTTAAGAGCCCATCTCAAGTTGGAGACCATGACTTTTTAGAGCCATAGGAGGATAGAAGGTGGATTTGTTGGACTGAATTTGTTTTAGGAATTTCTTATGTGGGTGGATGAATATATGCCTGGGATTGGCAAACTGTCTGTGAAAGGCCAGGTAATATTTTTAGCTTTCATATGATTTCTGCTATAGTTATCCCATGCTGCCATAGTAGTATGAAGGTAGCCATAGATGATATGTAAGTGAATGTGTGTGGCTGTGTAAATAAACTGTTTATAAAAAATAGGGGCAGGCTGGATTTGGCAAGCATAATATATGCCATAGTTTAGGCTGCATGCAGCCTTACTGAAAATAGTGTTTATGAAACTGCGAAATGAATGCAGTCTAAATTACCCATTTATGGAGATGACTGATAATGAGTAACAACTTATTGCTAAAGCAGTTGATTAATGAAGAAAGTAATCAGCTTGAAAAAAAGGTAGACTGAGACTGCCAAATTTCCTTTTACATTTGTTTTCACGTTGAGTTAACTAGTCTCTTTCCTGCCCTTTGAAAATGTTTAGAGTAATGATTCTCAACTGTGACTGCACAGTGTATTTAGCTGGAGAGCTCTGAAAACCTACTGATGCCTGGGTCCCAGCCCCAGAGATTCTGGGTTAGTTGGTCTGAAGAACAGCTTGGGTATCAGTATTTCCTAGCAGATTCTAAAGTTCAGCCAGAGTGGAGAACCACTGACTTAAAAATTCATTGCTGCGGAGCCCTGAGACTGCTGTAGGTTTCGTATGGAGTTCCAGGGTACAACAAGTAATCGTGGGAATATGGAATAGCCATTTTAAACTAATAAATCTTTTTGGCCACTTTTCCCCTTCATTTATTTTTGTTATTTACTTAATTATTTTGAGGGTATTTAATTTCTTTTATTTGCCCTCTTCTTTGGAAAACTACAGCATGTTTATTATGTCTAACATCTAGATTGGGTATAAGTTTATTTACTATAATGCTGTTTACTATAATACTGCCTGCATTTAAGTTTAACACACAGATATGTTTTATTGATGGTTGTTAGATATAGCCTGTTTTAGTTTCTTTGTTTAGTAGTTCATTATAAGTATTAATAATTACATGTGATGCCCTGGCTGGTGTGGTTCAGTGGATTGAGCACCAGCCTATGAATCACAGGGTCACCAGTTCAATTCCCAATCAGGGCACATGCCTAGGTTGCAGGCCAGGCCCCCACTAGGGAGTGCATGAGAGGCATCCACACATTGATGCTCCCTCTCTTTCTCCCTCTCTTTCCTTCTGTCTAAAAATAAGTAAATAAAATCTTTAAAAATAATACCTACGTGTGATGACTGATTGAAAAAGAACTAATGAAAATCTTTCTAAACTTAAAAAAAAAAGGATTCTGAAGGTGATACCCCACTTCATGATGCAATAAGTAAGAAGCGTGATGATATCCTGGCAGTTCTTCTGGAAGCTGGAGCAGATGTTACCATTACAAACAATAATGGATTTAATGCTCTACACCATGCTGCACTAAGAGGAAATCCCAGGTAAAGATGCCGCCTGTCACCATTTTATATGCAATTTTAAACTATTTTTTTGTTACTGGTTCTCTTTTTCTGATACTGACAAAATAATTTTGGCTTATTTTAGTATTTTAAATCATATCGTTATTTTAGCTTTTTAAGGATCAACTCCAGAGAGTGAGCACAGAGAACAAAAGGATTTTTTTTTAAGATTTTTATTTATTTATCTTTAGAGGGGAAGGGAAGGAGAGAGGAGGAGAAACATCAATGTGTGGTTGCCTTTCGTGCGTCCCCTTCTGGGAACTGGCCTGCAACCCAGGCATGTGCCCTGACTGGGAATGGAACTGTGATTGTCTGGTTCGCAGGCCCGCGCTCAATCCACTGAGCTACGCCAGTCAGGGCTGAGAACAAAAGGATTTTATTGGTATTGCTTGTTGATACTCATAACAAAGGGGTATATAATGTTGGTTGAAATAAATGACTGTATTTTAGATTATGTCTTCATTTATTTTTTTCAAATTACAATCTTTTGGCATTCTGAAGGAGACAAAATAGTACTGTATGTTCCCTGCCTTTCAGATAGAAGACAAGATATCACAAAATGCCAGGCCCTTACTAAGTGGTTACATGCATTATCTCATTTTAACCCCTCAGAAGATGTTATTTATTTATTTTCAGAGAGATGGGGGGATTGTTTAACTGAGAATTTATTATTAATGTTGAATCTCATTGCTGCCTCTTTGATTAGGGTTACTTTGACTACTCTCTCACTGATTCTGAACTTCCAATTAGTTCTAAAATTGTATCTATTCTACAGGTCTTTCTGATCCATTCCATTCCTTCTATTTTCATTGTTGCTGACCTAGTTAAGTTTTGACACTTTTTACCTAGACTCTTACAGTATCTTTCTAATTAGTTTGAACTTGATTTCAGTTTTATCTCTGACTTAACTTTCATGTAACTACTAAATTACCATTTTAAAAATGTAAATCTAATGGCTTCCCTATTCTGTTCCCAAATCTTTATTTGCTCTCTATTGTACATAGAATAAAATCTCTACACTTTGACCTGGCATTCACCCATTTCCGATGTGTCCTGAAGTCTTTCTAACCCTCTTTCACTAAATAAAAGTCCAGTGCCCACCTTGACCTTCAGCTACATTACACTACATCCTTTCCTAAGATTGTCTGCTTTCTTCCTTTACACTTAAGCATTTTTTCATGAGGATGTTCTCATCCCTCTTTTTCATCTTAACCATCTTCCAGTACTACTTGATCTCACCATTGAAATTACTTTCTGTTTGCCCTATTCTTCCTTGCTCTGTGTTCTTATTTTACTGCACTTATAATTAGTCTTCTTTGTGCTATACCTTAGTGTGTGTGTTTTTATGTTCCTCTCTGTTCAAGTTGTGGCACACATATTCATCTGTCTGTTTCCCACAATGCCTTGGCTGTAGTAGGGACTCTGTAAATGTTATTCTCAATTTTACTATCTGGACACTGTTAGATATCATTAAAATGCATATGGTTAAATATGAAATAAATTCTATAGTGAAGCTGTTAGGAGTTTAAGCAGAGCGATTACTTCAGATTAGAATGGGCAAAAAGGTTTTATTGAGGGGATTTAGATTAAATATTAAATTGTAAAGTTTAAGATAAGCTGAAAATTTAAGAGTTTAGGAAATGCGTAACTCTTAAATATTTTGAATTGTTTTCACTTTATTGAAAGTAAGCATAGTATGTTTAATAATGCTAAGCCTGTATACAGAGAAGAAAATATACTACTATTTCTTCAATTCTTGAGAATTCCCCTAAACATTTATCTGTCACCTCCAGACAGACAATTGGTGTGAGGTGACATTTTTTTTAACAAGGGAAAAAAACCACTTTCATTTTATAACAAAGCGGTGCTTCAATTAAAGTGCTGTGTCTTCTTTATTCTTGTTTTCTTAAGGCATTTTATGTGGTTGTGACTATAGGTTACAAGATAAAGAGTGTGATTTTAATTAGCCACTGAAAAGTATCAGAAAATGATATAACATATATCAGTTGTAATTGAGAGTTGGGTTGTTTTGAATTGTTTTTTCATATCAAATTTCTTATTCTTAAAATTCATTTTTCTTTTCTTGTATTGGCCAATGATGACATAAAACAGAAGGAATTATTTTTGGTATACTCAGAATTTTTTTAAAAAGTGTTTGGCCCTATTACTTATTTGGGAAAACTTATTATGGTATGTTATTATTTCTAGAACCTCATGACTTAGCATTTTTTGAATAAAATATTAAATATGATTAACAAATATACTAACATTTTCTCCTTATAAGCACTTTATATAACCTAATGAATCTATTACCTTGAATTAAAACATTTTAATGTATTGTCATTTAAAAAAATTTTTAATATATTTTATTGATTATGCCATTACAGTTGTCCCATTTCCCCCCCTTCATTCCCCTCCACCCTGCATACCCTCTCCCACCCACATTCCCCCCTTTAGTTCATGTCCAGGGTCTTGAG